CCTGCGCAACTGTTTACCGGGGACAGCACCTGACCATGAGCGCACATCCTGGTACTCTGTGCCATCCCCAGAGTGGCTATTTACCAGCCAGTGTGGGAGGAATTCAAAGCCACGTGGCTTCTGTGCTACCCAAGAAGGCAAAGGGACACCCTGCAGACGATGTTTTTAGATGATTAGCGTGACACGTGCTGATAAGAAACAGCTGATAATAAACCATCATAAACTGAGTCCCTCAAGAGAAATATGGACATATTTTCAGCTGTGAAATTTCGTACATCATCTTTAATCTTAACTCGTGCCTTAGCGGAAAAAAATACATCGTGAAAATGGCACAGGAAATAAGGGTTCAGTGCAGGCGGTGCAGGTGTTCAGAGAAACCCATACAAACCACAGGCTGCTTTCTCTCCTTCTACCCAACATACACAGAGCTGACATCTCTAGAATGAGATATAAAACTGCATTATGAATTTATCATAAATCTTGATCGTGCATCAAGTCTGGTCTAGAACTTTAATACTAAAGCTATTTTTTTTTTTAATTTATTCTCTCTTATCAGCACGGTAGAGAAATGTCTCCTCCTCTGCCTGCAACTACAGAACTTTCATCTAATAATACTCCAACACTGCGTGCTTCGGTCAAATTCCGCGTCTATTACTGCTTGCTTTGCTCCTCTATTTATCTATACCCTTTACACCCTCCTGGGCGATTTAAACACGTGTCGATACACTACACACTCCATTGTATCACTCACATCATCATTGGTGGAAGAAGTAATTCCAACACGGTTGAGTTAGGCAGTAAAAGAATGTGGCTTGCTTACATTTACTTTGTGCTGGAGAATACTGAAATTTAAATATGACTCTTGGAACAGAATAGGTTTCCTTAAGCAAAGAACAAATATTGCCATTCTCTGGGATGAGACTAGAAAGTGGTTTTCGTGTGCTGCTCGTTCTTTGCATAGCTGGCCGCTGATCTCAGGGCAGCTCTGGCCATCGGCGCTGAGCTCTGCAGGCTGCCAGGGAATCCTGTCTCAAGACGTATTTTCAGCTGGATGGGGTTTTGGCAGCGAGCAGGTCAATGAATACTCTTCCAACATCCTCTAACCTCCTCCTGCAAACTGGGGAACAGTTTCTCAAGTTTCTTTTGAAGCTGGATGAGCTGATTCAGGAAGCTCACAAAATGCCATCTCGGCATAACTACAGGAGGTCAGACAGAGAGATGAGAGGTGGGAGCACCAGCGCTGCTCCCCACGGCTTCCCTTCGTAACAGAGCAACACCTCGAAGAAACACACAGCTAACACTCCAGCTTAAATATACCTCAACCAGGCAGTTTGCTGACGGGATGTAGCTTCAGGTGGTATTTTGACAGTGATCTCAATTAAACTGAATTGAGGGAAGCAGAACTTTTCACAGCTGCAGTAGGACTGTCACCTGTTTAACACTGAACTGTAAAAGAACACGAGGGCTGGTAATGGTGAGCCTCTCAGGCTGTCCTTTGAAGGTCACCTGGAAAAGCCAGCAGGATCTTGATTCCAGGGCTCTACAGTGTTTTACAGGGAAAATAAATTGCAGAGAAAGCACTCGGGTTTTTTCGTGCATTTAACAGTCCTGCTCACAGCTAAACTGTTCTATCTATTTGGGAGGAGAGAATCTTTTAAGGAGATCATTGTTTGTAAGAGTCATGGAGTAAGGCAATTTCTTTGCAGTTCTCCTTACAATGCATTTTATTCACTGCAATATTTTCTTACAACATGTGTAGAATAATTATGTTAGCATTTCCATATACTGGTATTTCTCACGTGATCTCCATTAAAGCAGAGGTCTTGCCTGAAGAAAAGATCAAATTCGTTGCCACAGTCCTCCGCTATTTCTTTTGGTTTACTGTATAACGGCTGTGAAATATTCGAGGTGCATTACTCCATGTTAGAAACACCAAAGAAAACGCTCATGACTCCAGAGGCACCCGCCTCACCCACAGGAATGCTGGGGAGAGGGACTGAGCCTCAGGCACAGCCCAGAGTTCGCACAGCCCAGGGCAATCCCAAACTGCATCTTCGTCTCTGAGGTCTGGGAAGGGAGCTCAGGCTCTGGGGGGAAAGATGCTCCAGGATGGAAGTGTCCCCAAGGAGGAGGAGGAATTTGAACTTGTAGATACCTCTGGTGTGCTGGTTGTTTTTAATTACACCAATACATTTTAGTTCTGCTAATCTCTGGTATTTTTTTAGGTTGTGTCAAATAGACCAGAGGGATATGTACCTTCTCTTAGCATTGGCATGATTCCAACAGTTAAAAAAATAATCGTAATGAGCTGTATATGAGCAGTGTATCTAAAGCTGTGTGGTTGGTACAGTTCGTGTTTCTCTGAGCCATGTAATGTTGCTGCTTAACAGAGTCATGCAGGGATCGGCACGCTTAGCACTGGCTTGGGCAGCATCAGTGCGAGATTAGCAAGGAATTAATAATGAAAGCAGTTCCTGAACTTAAATATGCCCCAAAAGACAGCTATTTTTAAAATGTCTAGACACCCAGCACCATCTGATTACTCAAGGCTGGCTCTCAGCAAATGAAAAAAAGTGAGGTTCTTATGGTTTTCAAGTGTCTTCACTTTAAACAAACACTCCTCTTGCAGGAGTTTGAGCTGCAGAACTGATGAAGCAGGTCACAGTGCAGGAAGACAGGCAGCCGTGACTCCGGTCTTAGCAGTATACTGTTACTTAATTAAATCATGGATCAATTTAGTCCTTTAATTTAAACTTAAGCAAGACTCATCTGCCTTTGAGTGCTCTCAGTCATCAGTAACTTTCTTGAAATCAACAGTGCCAAACTGATCAGATGGTTTCTGCAGCAGGCTGTTGTGCCAGTCGGAGTGGAAGGCAGCCTCAGAGCAAGTCTGGACACTCTGGAATTTGGAAATATTTTTCTTATCCAGGTGGGGTCTCACTTTCTTGCCTTAGGCAACAAAATACAACCCCAGGAGTAGGTGTTAAGGCAGAGTTTAACAGATCCTGGGGAGGGACAATCTCAGTGCCATGAAGTAAGGACCAAGCTACAGCACCCACCCCGCTGCTGCACGCTGCTTATTTCAATCGCTGCAGCTACAGAGATCATTTCAACCAACGCGAGCAAACCTAAGTGGGTTAGGAGGAAATCACTGTGTAAAGAGCAAACAAGAGTGTGAAACGCGCACAGGCTTCTCTGTGCAGGTGGAAAAATAAATACATCTTTCAAACGTGAAGAATGCGCAGGGGATTGTTCTGTGTGTAAGCTCCGTGTAAATACCACAAGCTGTATTCAAACAGGTGCAGGAGCAACTCCATTTAACTTGGCTCACACCCTAAGAGTCTGGAAAGTGTGTGCTTTTATAGAAGTTACTTGCGCTAGAGAGAAGTGTACTATTTTGTTTTCGCTAATGGGACCTGAATAGCTCACGGGAATTCCCCGTCATCATTTGAAGAGATAGTGGGCACTGCAAGAAATGTGTTTAACTGGAGAAACTGGTACACACCCCCCGCCAGCACTTTTCTAGATTATTTACATTCTTGCTCTATATTTGGCAAAGAAGGAATTTGAATTAGATCTCTCTCATCCTGGACACGTTCTTAAACCATTCTGCTTTTAGAAGAGAGAACAGAAACTCAGCAAGAGAGGAGGAAGATGTGAAGGTTGGTATCGTAAGAAGCATACTGAACCAAGTTAAGTTTCATGGAAATAAATCCTCATGGGTCATTACTCCAGAAGAAAAGATAGTTGAACTTCGTTACTCTCATTTGAATCAAGGATAAAAGGCATCTGAAATGGAGACCATCTCTTCAGAGTCAACATAACACCAGGCAAAGGCTTCTAGAAGCATTATTATCTGACCGTTGGGCATGTGTTCTGCTGAGCTCACCTCCCAAATATGTTCCTAGATTGTTCCAAGACATTTCTTTTGTCAGCCGTTTGCCTGTCTTAAGTTAGAGAGGACGATCATAGAAACCTAAATTTCTCTGAATTAATCTGATTCCTCCTCACAGTTCTTTGGCATGAGAAAGATGGGCAACAGGACAAGCCATCGGCTGCACTGTTGGATCACTCCCCAGGAATGAACAGCAGTCTGCGCTGCCAGGCCAATGTCACACACAGCTGGAATAGCTGCAAAAGCACGTCCTCATCCCAGTTTGTTCCCACCAAGTGGCTTTCTCTGTCACAGAAGCCAGCCGTGGTTTTCAAAAACAAAAACAAGTCTGAGCTGGCCTGTCCAAACACCTGCCCAGCTTTTCCGCACAGCTCCTGCCTGCCCCATCAGCTCTCCAGGACCTCTGCTCCCTAAGCAGCAGGTTACTCATGGTGAGTAACCAGTACGCTTGATAAACCGGTCAGTGAGCAGTGAGTGTGCTCGATGAGGTCACGGGAATGGCTTGCAGGAGCTGCTGTGTCAGGAGGCTCGGGGATCCCGACACACAGCTCACACCGTACAGATGATGGGTCTGGGCTCACTGCACAGCTGGAGGAAAGTCCTCTGGACCTCCTCTCGCACCAGCACTCAGAGACTTTGGCCCTTCAGGACCTTAAGATAGCACTGCTCCACAGATGCCCTAACTTGCTGATGTGCTAGCAGATCAGTTTTACTGTACACGTCATTTCTGACCTGTCACCCTGCCAAAGATCACACCACCAACCCAGCGCAGGAGATAACCAGGATGAAAGTATCAGACAACTTGTTTTTCTCAGCAACAACAGCTGATCGAGGGTTGCAGCTGCAGGGCTGTCTGAACTGCCACAAAGTGAAGTGATAACGCATGAACTCAGCTACAATTAAGGACCAACACAGCAGAAATCTTTCCAACTCCACGTATCACAAGCTCTTTAGCCTTTCTTCTGTACTTACTGGTGGGCATTGTGCAAGTTTATCAGCTGCCACCAACTGAACATTCAAGTGCTTACTCTGTGACTTTCCTCTAGATTTAATCAGTCGCTGCAAAACCTGACAGAGGAAAAGAGGACAATGTGAGTTCAAGAATCGCATAGTTCTGTAAAGCTCAGAGATCCCATTGGGGGATTACCAAGTTCAGAAGCTTTCCATTATGTTTAACAAAATGGATAAAACATTGACACTGAATATAAGCACAAACCTGTCTGATAACCTCCCCGAAAGCTGGGCACATTTCCCTTTGCATCACGTTTGATCCCTTGCAAATATTTCAAATGCACTGTGAAGGGTGATTTTGTTTTATTCTGCTTGAAGTAACAGGTTATTTTTGACAAATGTAATCTTCTAGGGGACCACAAAAATTATCTATACACAGAATTAGACTGGATAGCTGGATTGACTGCAGCATAACAGCAGCAGCATGTTGTGTGGTGTAGCAATAACGCTGTCACTTGAGCTGTTCTGAGCTGCATTTTGGGTACAGAAGGTATTTTACATACACAGTTCACATTACCTTTTTTTTTTTCCCTTCCACTGTATTCAGTGCTAGAATTTAAGGGGCAGAAAAGTTAGGAAACCTAAATTATTCCTCTGTAAAGTTTCAGAGAAAAATACAGGACCGTAGAACACCTGAGTTTGTTTAAGTCAGAAGGATCTCATCTAAGGCTCAGCCTAAGGCTAGGTGAAGGTTTAGGGCAGAAAAAATAAATTGCATCAGACATTCCCTTGTCAAGCCCTTGATCTAACTTCATCTCACTCTTAATTTCTTCAGGTGCAGATACCACACTGCTCACTCCCACGCTACCCTCCAGGTCCCTCCCAAATGCACGTATTTCCAAGGTGAGATGCATTACCTTTGGAGAAGACACTTTAACATGGACAATAATCGGTGCTAAAGATGTCTTGATAAGCTGTGCAGGGTGATTGATAGTGTCTGCATCCAGGACAACCAGCTGTAAGGACCTTGCCAGCTCAAAGATTCTTTCAATTTCACTCTGTACTTCAGCTAGTAAAGGAAAACAGAACAGGTGAAACCCTTCAATCCCTGCATTACTTAGACAAAAATATCATCACCATTTATTTTCATAGACTGTATGCATTCGGTATATGAACTCCATCTAGGAATTAGTGTAATTTCCATAAAATAAACTATTACTCAAGGCAGTTTTTAAAAATAAATATTACCCTGGAGACAATTCTGTTGCCTGAAAATGCATATGTACTACGTTCACTTATAACATCAGTGGATTTAAACACTGGGTACAATTAAATGTGTGTTTCTATTAAGACAAAATAGACTTAAACGTATTTTTCCAATCAGCTAAATAGCTTGGGCATCATAAGATTTTTTATTTTAGACAGCAAGTGATGCATTGATATTTCTTAAAACTTTTTGGTTCTCACATTGTAATTCTGGTTTAAGTTACACAAGAGTCTGGATGAAAAGCAGAACTGTGACCTCTTAATTCTATAACCACAAAAAAATTGTTCGTTAAATAATTGACAGGGTATTATTTAAAAAGACACTAATGGCAATGTTCACACCAAAGCACTTTCATCTGAGGAAAAAGGAGAAATTTCTTTCCATGTAAATTATATTTCTGATACTCCTTCTTCTGACCCTTCTTAATCATTCATATGCATGTGACAAATTTTAAATAAACAAACTCAGCCCAAATTGAAGCCTGTAAGTTATACCATCAAAGCACAAAAGAGCTGGATGTCAGCAACTCACGTGCATTTAATCTGCCCAAGAGCTGCTCCACTGAGCAAGGGATGCTCACAGGCACAGGAAGATTGACTACTCACCCCTGCAGCGCTTACCTTTGGAGTGCCTACTCCTGTACAAGAACGCCAAGTAGAAGTGAAGCATCCTACAACCTATACCTCTAGTTCAAACAGTCACTCAGAATGTCAGAGAATTGGGTTTAAGAGCCTTTTCTTCCTGAGAAGACTGAGAACCAGCTCCTCCCACCTCCCAGGATGGTGTCCCAGAGCCCAGGCTATGGGCATGCGTATACCACACACAAATCTGCACCCTTTGTGAAAAACTAAAATGGATCAGGGCAGTGAACCCTGCAGTCATGACACTGTGAGGAGAGAGTGAGAAGACCCAGACTCTCACAGAAGAGCCAGACCCTCATGGCTGGACAGGAAAATTAAGCTGTAGCTGTTCAGTATGAAACACAAAACCAGCCCCAGGAACAGGAACACGTCTCCCTCCTGGCTGGCAGGGTGAAAGCTCAATGACAGCATGTGGTGTGGAATTAAAAGCACAGGCTGAGGCCAGCTCACCTTGGGAGGAAACAGCACGGAACCTGAATTCTGGCTGCAGGCCCCTACCTCATCTTTTACAAACAACAGCTGTAATACTCCTTGCTCTAGCCCAGGCAATCGCTCGGCGTGAGGCTAACACAGGACTTTGTGCTCTGGTGCCGCTCCTCAGCCAGGCAAAAGCTGTCCCCCATTGAGTATGTGAAATTCAGAATTATACATTCAAATGCTGTAGACACATTTAAAGTTGCAAAACCGATGCTGAAATCCTGTCACTTTCCTCCAGGATGTCACCACGTTCAGAATTACGTCCGCGTCAGTGTCTTACCTAAACTGGACCTTGTATTTGACCGCTCAATTATTGCCCTCTTGCTTGGATTGTTTAGAACAGACCTCTTTGCAAGAGAAATGTCGGCTGTCACTCTAGTTATCGATATCCTATGAGTAAGAACACAGGACAGAACAAGAACACAGCAGTCAAATTGTCCCTGCACTGTGCATGATTTACAGCTGCATTCCGTTCCAAAGTGCAAACACAATAAAATACCACTCAGACACCTTTTACGGCTGAGTTATGCAGTCATTAAAGAACAACTCAAGAGAAATGCTGCATAACTGTAAAGTACTTTCTATTCTCTACGTTACTGGAGACTCGGACATATAGTTCCTTGCATTAGTTAACTTTTCTCCTCCCCAACTCGCTCATCTCCTACCCAAATTTAGGCAGTACCACACATACAAGTTATGGGAGTCTTAGGGCATACAGAACAACAGAGTCGTAACGGTAACTTCTCTTCCCAGATAATTAAACTATTGATTAAACGTGATGTTGCTGAGAGGTCAGGAAGGGCCATGTCTGGACATCTGAGCAGACCATGCCACTCATTCTCCTTTTCTGGACAGGGAGCTGTGCCGATGGGTAACTGACTCGGCTCGTGGTTGAACAGCACACAAGTAAGTTGAGCCACAGCTCTCTGTACTGCTGGAGCCTCCTCTTTAGCTTAAGGAAGGTGATTTTTTACTTGATCTATCAGTGAGCTGACAAGAGACAAAAGGTTATAAAACAAAGACCATACAATCACTTCACATAAAATCCACCTAGGAGGACTGTGACGAGCCAAAGCCATGAATAATGAAAAGAAAGCAAGCTGGAAATGACTAGCAGCTCTTCCATAAAACGTAAGATTTATGCAGCTCTAAGTGAAATTATCCAATGGAGGCTGAAAAAGGAGGGCAAGTATTTTTCTGCATGACAGATAAATACATTTATTGCCAGAAAATACAGTAGAGACCAAAAGTATAAATGAGTTTTAAAAAGAAAAGGGAGAAATTGATGGATCGTGGGTCTAGAGGTGACGATAAAACAGGGTGGTCCAGATCTGGCTCAGGGAGCTCCTAGATCTCTGACTGCTGCAATCAGAGACACGTAACAGAGGAAGGACCACAAACGCTCACCTACTCTGCCAGATACAAGCAGCATTTCATTCTTGAGTAAGAAGTAATCCTACATATCACTGTTAGAGCCTCTGCAGCAGCCCTTCCTGAATGCCCTGTGCCAGCCGAGCTTTAGCAGCCTCCCACAACACAGCCCGCGGGCCTTTCGTGTAGCTCACTGGCCAGAAGAGGATGTTGCAGTTAGAAAACAAGGAGCTGGCAGAAGTCAAGTGTAGTAAGAGGTAGGGAAGGAGTCCTGCTAGTTCAAGTCTTAGTGAAGTCTGTTGAACAACGCCTCCTTGGACAGTCATTGCCTTTCTTGGTAACCTGGCACAAAATTGCAGAAGAGATGGGAAAAAAGAAAAAGAAAAGCAGGGTGGGGGAGAAAGACTGCAAAGCCATAGAAGTTGGCAGGAGGACCAAGAAGCAGCTGAGGTGCCTGTAAAGGAATTTAATTCATTTTTCCAAAGTTACTCAGAGCTGAAGCCAATTGTATCAGCTTGCTTGGGGCACTTTACTTTTTCAGTGTTGAAATTTCACACTTCTACCTGATCTAGTTGCCAATATTGCTAATAGCAAGAGGATTTCAAAAAAATACCTCACTTCAGGCAAGATCACTCCCTTTACACCTCCTTGAAGACCAAGGGCATGGTGGGGGAAAAGACAGAAGAGCCAGGCAAGGAGCAGTGCTGCCTCCCATCAGACTGAGCAGCCTAAATGGGGGCATCTATGTGTGCTTTACATTTGCCTCTCTGTGTTTAGGCACTGCTGATGTTTGTGGATCAGGCCTCGGCTGATAGGGTATAAAAATATACCTCACAAAGGATATATTCATAGCAATCACGTCGTGGCAACTGGAGATGAGTTATCACTTCCCGTTGCCATGGTTTCCTACCGAAAACAACGACTCAGTTACTGCTGGCATACGCAGAGCTGACAGCCATACGCCAGCAGCTGGAAGAGCAGATACGCGGCGGTGCTGTACCTCCACCTAATGCAAACAGGCACCGGAGCTCATGGCACGAGCTGCACGGAACCAGAGCAGTCCCACTGCTCAGGACCGGGGAGAGGAGGCACTGATGGGGCACGGGAACAGCTCAGGAACATGACAAATGTAACTGCAGGCTGCCACGTACAGCACTGCCTCTGTCAGCTTTGGAATCAATCACTGCCTCTGCAGATCTGCTGAAATCACTGGAGCTGGGCAATTAGAAACAGGGGAGGAGATGAGATCTTTTGCGCAGAAGTTGATCATTAACCTGCTTTTCGCAGTTAGAATATACTGAACAAACTGGGATGAAGGAAGGGCAGAACATCCCAACGATGTAGCAGACACCTACCACCACTGATGGGCTCCAGTGGAAAGGAAGAGATGCCATGGACCAAGCCTGTGCTTCTAGCAAAGAAAACCTGATTATCCCTCTCACAGCTCATCGGAAATATTCTCCATGTTCCAGCTGAACAAGATGAATCCTCTTTACAATTTTTGAAGTTCTGACACACTTCAGTTTGCAGCATTTCCTTCTTCAAACTGCCTTTTGAAGTACTGGTCCAGCAGTACACATTTTTGTATCCAATAGTTAAGAAATTTTCATATGCCCAAAGAATTGTGAATGAAACTGTAGTTTGACCTGCAATCAGTCATGCTTCCTCATTTACCCAACATGCGGTCAGCCCAGGCTGCAGAGCAGTGGAGCTCTGGAGGGAGAAGGACCAGCAGCCAGCCCAGAGCTGGGCTCTGCAAAGGGCTGTTCACTGGGTGGCACCGTTCCCTCCGATTCCAGGCTGAACACGGGGCACAGCCTCCTTCCCAGGGCAGCAAGAAAAACCTGAGCCTGGTGATGCCATCTTGAAAGGTATTTTGGCACTTTCCATCTGCCCCAGTCACCTTTCATCTTGATTTCTCCTATAACTTCAGGCTGGTAAGACATCGAGGCAGAATTATTCTATTAAATTCAAGAAATCCTACTACAGACACAGCAGATATGAAGATACATGCACGTCTAGTCACACATTAGCTGTGTTCCACCCTATAGCTGGCAGCATTTCAGTGTTGATACAAAGACAGTAAATCGGTTTTGAACATGCACCAATCTTCTTGCATTTAAAAAAAAAAAAAATCACTAAAATGTTAGTAAGACATGGGGAAAAAAAAGCACGAAAAGGACAGTATTTCTCACCTCCCATCAAACCTGTGCTTCAGGAAGTCAAAGAGAGCTTTCTGCATCATGTCCGTCACCTTTGCGGAGGTGAGGAAGATTGAACAGGGAGGATTGACAGGGAGAAAAAGAAGTCAAAAGTAAGAAAAGAGGTAAGTAGAGGTTAAGGACACTGCCAACAATCAATACCTTTTACAGGTAGCAATCATTTCATTTTCACGCTCTTGGCAGCATGCTTCGTAATAAATACTTGCAAGTTTTCTGACTCATTCTCCAAAATGCGGAACGGAGGATGTGAAAGCTGTCACTCTTTCTGCTCTTGTCTTGACTGGTGCTGAGGCACTAGAGCACACCTCCCCACCTCCCGGAGCAACGCCGCTCCCAGCAGGCTTCCGAACACGGCAGAAGCATATGGGGCTATTCCGCCTGAATAGATCCGTTGGGCTTTTTCCTACAGTAACATTATTAAAACTGGCTTAAAATTTCAGCTACAAGATTTATCATGTGGGATAACGGTTCGAACAGAAGAGAACAACTGTTCTCAGAGAGGACTACAAGCAGAAAAAAATGACTGTTTCCACTCCTGTACAAGGGAAAGCATCCGAGAGCAGCTCAGCCCCAGCCGCTGTCGTCTGCTTTATTGAGGGAGCTCCTTCTCCTTTACTCAGGCTGACACCTAGTATCTGCCAGTCTAGATGGGAACTTAATCAAAGCCCCCAGGCCTTTGGCAGTTTATTTCTCCTAGGTTGTCTTTCAAAATGCTTCTTACAGAATTTAGTCAGAAAAAAACTGTCAAAAGAATTTTCCCATGTAGGCTGCAAAGTAAGATCAAGGAGTTTCTGTTATGTAGAGCACTCTTTGTAACCAAAATTAACATCATAACTGTGTTACCATTTGTACACTTTTACATGTTCAAGATGTCATGTTTAGTATTATTTTCTTAAACGAAGGTGGGGTGGCATATTTGTAGAGGTATGTATTAACAAAAAGCCTCCATCCCCTCTGAGCTTGAGAGTCCCCAGGCAAATTAATCTGTGGTGCAGCACCATGAAAGTCAATGGGTGAAATATTCGCCTGTCAAGAACATCACCATAAAATTAAATGGCAGAGTAGAACATGAAGTACCTAATTCCTGCTTTGCTAAGCTACACTTTCAATCATTCTCACCAAAAAAACAATGCAAGAACACTGCATTATGCTAATAAAGGTACCACGCTGTAATCTTCCAAAAAGAATCATGTTTAATAATACCCTATGAAGTATTAACAACGTTAATTAAGCTAAATGAGGTGTTATCATTGATTTTATGTTCATCTTCATTTAGCTCCTAATTCAGCAAAACACTTAACAGATGGTTAAATTCACCAAAGGCCCTGCTACAAGGCTATATGCTCCTTTAGCACGTGTTAAATGCTCACTTGAATCTGCAACAGTCTTGAAAAATGGGTGTCCTGTGTCTCTGTGCATGGTATCAGACTTCCACATTGAAGAGAGGCAAGTAATTTAGAAGGGTTAAAGGTTTCTTTACATATATATTTCAATATACTAATCATCTTAAAAAAATAAGTTAAGAAAACATGCTGAAATCGTAACCATCAGTTGTCATATTCAGTTCAACTACTTCATTTGCCAACAGTGAGTTTCATGGGAAGACGTAAAGTTTTTGTAAGTGAAAAAAGGAGAACAATGGGGAAGCTTCTTCAAAATTTTTGCTAATTAAGTTCAAAGCACGCGCTAGTTTAACTAAAATTTTAGAAGTCTACAGAAGTCCACCTAGTCATTTGGACTGCTCCAACTTTTTGTTTTAGCGGACATAAATTCTGTTTTTCTTACTTGATTTAATCAAGAATAACTGAAAATAGTGGATGTGCTCGGTGCTTAAAGCAGTAAAACTGCAAAGAAAGCACCAGTGCGCTTACCTTACCCACCCTTCAGCGGAGCCATCACAAGTAACAGACGATGTTGCAAGGTGGAATAAAATTCCCTGGTGCCTCCCCCAAACAGTGCGAAGTGCTAACTATGATCTTAGTTCTGGTGGAAGCTATTTGACAATTATTTAAGCTAAGATCACTTTAAATTATCATCAGACAGTTGCACTGGACCACACACACTGAGTGTACTAAGGAAGACTATAGATAAGAAAACACTAACTGCAAATACTTGGAATACCCACCTCATAGCCCTTCAGTGACGGACCCACCAGGACAACCGGCCTCATGGATGGTACTACATCATACGGCGGAATGTGTTCTGTCTAGAAGAGGAAAACATTCCTTCAGATCATTAACCAAGGAAGATCCACATGAAAATCCTGGGAATTATGTATTAAAATAAAATATAATAGAAACAAAAGTACTACTTACCACTTTTTGTTTCTGTTTTGCTAAAAGACCAAAGGAGAACTTGGTTAAAAAACACACGCTGTGTGTAACAAACAAAAACCCCTCTGTCAATGCACCTTCCACTTCTGTCAGAGCACCTCCCTTCTGCTCAGCCCTGTTTAAACTGGTCATTCACTCCACTCTGGGGCAGCTGCCACTCTTCCCGTGATTTCCTCCCAGTCCCTTCGCAACTACCGCATGTCTAGAAACAGATGTCTTCCTCCACCTCTGCACGCAAGCACTTTTCTGTAAAACATCTGAATAACTCAAGGGGGAAACCTGCATTTGTCATAGATGGTTTTTAAAATAGAAGTATTTGAAATAGCAAGAGTTTCCGTAAGCAAAATTATCTCTTACCTGTGGAAGTGGGTGTGGCTCGAAATGTGCCAGAAACCATTTCTCCAAGGCTTGAGGAAGAATTGCCACTTGATTTCCTACAGTATCAGAGAGAGACTCATTAACACCCAGCACCCAGAGACGCAAACGGAGGAGGTTTTCAGCAGCAGCTATGAGAAACTGCCCCATGAGAAATCACACGGTAAAGGAGTCTTCGCCTCCATCCACGCTGGAAGAAAGCCTCCTCTGAAGCGGGAGGCAGAGTGCTAGTCCCAGTCACTAGTTTGTCCTTGCCTTCTTGCCATGTGCTCTCCAGAGCAGGGACTGGTTACTCCTGGACTTGGCAAATCCTTTGTGAACATATCCTAGACCCTAGAAACCCTCTTTAATCGATGGCTTTTCACTGCCTTACTCAGACAGACTCTTCATCACGTAGAGCTTTAGTATCGCAACTAGTCACAGCTTTTAAGGAAATCTCAAGGTATAGATTCTATATGACTATTTCTAACAAAAGTGCTCAAAAATAAACTATTTTATCATTATACATTACTTTCTATTTTATCATACAACTCCACGAGTGTTTGTGCAGAACAATAGATATCCTTTTACAATATTTCCCATATCTCTCTTATACTCGATTTTATTCCTAATATTCTCCACAGGTGAGATTAGACAAAATCTCTGCAAGAATTGGTGATGCGGTGGAGTCACACCCATTCAACACAAGCAGACAATTTTTCTAACGTGCTGCATCTGAAGCAGTATCGTAAATACTCTGCTGGTGTCCATCTCTCTGAATTAGATACTCTTCTTTCTGTACGTTAAGATACACTGGCTTCCTCTGAAGCTATTTCAAAAATTATAAAAGCAATCAAAGCTCATCTCTATAAAGTTGGAAAAGCCTAGTTTTGGCCAAAATGGAGAGAAATAAAAAAAAAAAGAAAGAAAAACCCCACAACCTTAAGAGCATAACAGTTGGGAGAAAAATCTGGCAGACTTTGAGCAGCAAGTTGACTTAAATCCATGAGGACGTAAAACTCTCTAGCCCTTCAGAAATTCCTGTCATTACCACTCATACTGTATTACTGATCTTTCCTAAAGTCAACACACATTTTTTCTTGTTTCTTATTGCCAATATCTAACACGCCTATTCTCTGCAAACATGTCTTTCCATTTGGAATCCCAATTCAAACACCCCTCCAAATGCACAGCAATAAAAAAAGAATCAAATGACCTTTGAAAATACTGTCCGGTGTCAGAAATGATTTTAAATTATTTTAAAAGGTTACAGCATCCTTACCCTCCATGGAAACGTCCTCTCTTCTGCTCCTGTTGGATGCGGATATTCTCCAGTCGAAGCGGGCTTGGAATAAAGCCAATCTCGCAGCCCTCCTTCACCAGCCTTCCTATCCACCAGTCATTATTATATTTCTGGAACAAAGAAAGGTTACTGGCTTCAGTCCTAAATGCTCCATGTCCAAAACTCCCTTGTTTTGTGATCCACAATCCTTAACTCCAAACTGGTCACGGAAATCACACTGAAGCCCGAATGCTGGACAATACGTGTGAATTTAAGTGAAGTTAAAAGGCGGTAGGCGGTATTTGGAAGGCTGATGTCATCTTTGCAGCCAGAGAGTGGAAAGCAGCCTTATCAGTGGCAGTCCTGCCTTATCTCTTAACCGCCCCAACACATCCTGCTGCGACTCTTCCTCTGCTGTCACCACCTGAGGTGCTGACTGTGCTGGTGATTTAATGAGCCAAAGCAATTTCTGGTGAACCAAGGCCACCAAACTACCTCACCGTGGCAGCAGTCAAACATAAAAATAACACCATCAAAACCATCGTTCTTGGTTTTACGCCTACACTCTGCTATGCTTCATTAGGTACTTCAGTGTTCAAAAGAAACATTACTTTTCTTAACAGACCTTCAAGTCATTAAGGCCAGCACGAGGGTACCAATTCTGCTTGCATGCCTTGAGGAAAAAGTTATCGTAGAAATTTCGTCTTAAAAACAATCAGTTCTCTTGGCTCCAAGCACTTAAGTTCTTGCAGAAACATATAAATACCATGTCCTAGTTGCTGAAGGTACAACATACAGAGCCTCGACATCTTTGAAAAATAAATTAGCCTATTTATTAGCCTACACACACAGCTGTAGGAGAAGGCAATCCTTGTACCTGCATCTTGCAAACCTGCCCTCTTTACAGAGCTGTTATTTATGCAAGAGGTGCCATTACTTTCTCATTTCAACTTTTAAAATATCTATTCTTCATGCTGTTATGACCACAATCCAGACAACGTTAGTAAGCAAAACTTAATTTTAAATATGTTGCTTCTGCTGAAGTCAACAGAACTATTTCTGTTCTTTAAAATAGATACTTCAGGATCTATCATTCTGCTGTTATAAATCAGTGAAATCAATGGATTTAAACCACTGTAAAACCCAAGTCCCATGAGGATTACCCATTCTATTTTTGTTCTAAATGTACAGCTTGAACATAGGAATCCTTCTTCCACTAGCAGGTCATGGACTTGCGAGTGATGTCTCCAGACACGAGCTCAGAATCAGCGTTACGCTGAGAACACCAGAGCAATACAAAAGGCAACGATGCAGCGAGGACCGCAGGGCTGTTCGCATTGGGTCATCACCTCCCATATGGTATTCTCCACATTCGGCATGTGGGTTTTTCCTGCTGGTTGCCATGCCCATGATTTCTTCTGCATTGTCACTAATTGTTGCCACTTCATCTTTTACATACGCACATAATGTAGAGTCTTGCAGGAGACAATGAGACATACAGGACATGTTCTCGATATAGCCACTCATCGGCTGCCAGCAGACCTCACTGCTTACCTAGTTCAGCGTTATTCTGAACATCAAGGGACTTCAGGTGTGGTGCTAGACAGAACAGAACACATTTTTGGGGAACAGGGAGGAGGGGCAACCAATTCTGCACGCGGAGGTGGGCAGATTCAGATCCAGTGCTCTGCTTCCTCGGCAGGGGCTTAAGCACTATTCCACACAAATATAAAAAAATAAGAACACACAAAAACCCACCAAACAAAAAAATCCAAATCGAACTTCCATCTGTTTGCAGTGAATTGAGAAAATGGAACAAGGGGATCAACTGCCTTTCCCGTCTCCTTCTCAGGGAGAAAAAATGTCAAGCAAGCCCCTGTTCTACCACCAGTCTCTGCCTCCAGAGGTGCAGGAGCAGGTGTTTTCCTCCTGAACGGGCTCAGTCCAAGGGAGATCGGTGCTCTGATGGACACATGTTCAAGGAAAGAGACAAATGAGTACTGAACACCCTAAAATAAACCCAGAATGCAGAGATAAAAAATGTTTTTGCAAGCTGCAAGCCTACGCACAAATCTACAAAACAACAAAGGTTTACACACATTTGGAGGGCGCGTTTCAGATAAAGAACTGCAGAAAATATGCTCAACATGCAGTAAAATGTATTTTTCTCTACCAAAGCCACACTCAGGGCCCATTTATTCCCATGCTTATTTCCTTATTTTTGCATCTGTCCTCTTCAATATTTTCTTTTCTTATTCTGTTAACCCAAGTCGTACTTCCTTCCTTACAAGCCTATCTGGTGCTTTATGAACACCTGGTGTAACCTGGAGCTACTCCACTTTTTGACGAACAGAATTCCTTTCTGTTACATAACCTCTGATCCATCACAAACTCCGTTTGATGAAAACAATCTGAATCTACCATGTTGAAGGGTACTTAAAATACAGCAAGATGTTATTTCCTTCCTGTTCAAATCGTAGTCCTCGGCATGTAAGAAGATCCCCTTTACTACTCCTTGGTTTTACCTCTTTAATGTGGAGGAAGTCCTTGGCATCAAAAGAGATGGCAGTGCTTGGGACAGGAACATCTTCATCCAGAGCTCCACAGTAACTCACATTAGTCTTGACAGCAAATGCTACTGGTTTGGACTACAAACAGAAACACACATCACAAACAGTGCAAACTTTTATGAATCAAAAATCTATTTGCTGTGTTTTGATTACTGAAAACCTACCAGAGGGCGTTTGCCAAATACATCAAAATTCAGACATCATAATTTCACACAAGCCAGCAGAGTTCAGCTCAGTAGAGAAAAGCCCATTTATGCGAGAATATTTACACTATATCCCCCAAACATCCCGTCTGCAGATAAATTCACTCAATTGCCAAACTATTTCTAAAGATAGCATCAGCATTATAAACCAACTGTGGGAATTTCAACACTGGGCAAAAGATAAATGCCACGTAACTTAGTTGTTATTAAAGCTGAAAAGAACACACCTTTGCCCTTTCAAGTTGTATCGCCGCTTGTTGTTCTCTTTCTTGTCGGATTGCTTCCCTATCTTCCTCCAAAGAGACATCTGAGTCTGAGGGTCTGCTTGTGTATGAATCTGCTGAGCCCTGGAATTAAAGTCATATCACTAAGAAAACATATGTCAGAAACACAACATACTTTTAACATATTTGTTTCTTAATTTCTTTTGAGCGGGTCTTACATCCTGTGGCTAGCACAAAAAATCTGCAGAATGTAACAGAGAAATAGCCTGGCTTTACCCATCAGGTGCACTAAGCCAAAGACAAAAATCCCCCAAAAACCTCTCTCCCCACTTTCAAAGAACCTCTTACTGACACAGGGAAATACAGCTCAGTTGTGGGCACTGTCCAGAAATCTTTATGACGTTTAAATCCTGTTTGACAACCTTAGATTCAAGGGCTAGGTCACATCAAATATAATTAAGGTATTATAAAGCTTGGTTAGAATCACCCCTCCCTGCAAATACAGCACCACTGGGCAAGTACCTCCCTCCCTGCCACAGCTGCCACTCACATAAAGCTTTGCTCTGTGTTTCCAGAGGGAAAAGTGGCAAAAGTCACCTTCTTAAAAGCTACTCAACGGGGCAACACAAAAGCTACGAAACGACAGAGCACACTCAAGCAGAAGCAGAATGGAGCGTGTAAAACCCGGCATTCATACAAAAGGCAAAGGAAACCTTCACTAGAGATAGAAACTCCTACAAAGACCTCAAAATCCTGAAGTCTAAATCTAACTTTCCGCTCAAGGTAAATGTTGAATGGGAAATACACGTCCCTTATTGAGCCATTTCCCAAGCAAATGGGATTTTTGCTCATAAATTAATACATCTGGCGAGCAATGGGCTTTGCTGAAGCCAGCCTCAGCCTTGCACAATCCCGTTCAATACAGCATTCGACTCATTTGTTTTTGGGTCGTTAGCCAGGTCCAGAGGTCGGCGTTTCCCCCTCCCCAGCCCGATGCCCTGTGCTGGCTGCAGGTGACACGCAGTGATCGCACGCTCCCCGGGCTGTGCAGCACAGCACTCGGCCGGGCTGAGTCGCT